TTTCGTTTTCTGTTGAGCTAAGGAGGCCCCGAAGGAGAAAGGGAGGGAGGTCGTACAGGAAAGGGGGCACGGTGGGAGTCGAGGAGGAGGAGAGGTCACTGGGGGAAAATTTGGAGAATTTCGGGGTAATAGGAAATGTTCTAAAAAATTAGAAAAATGGGTTTCGGTACTTAAAAATTCAAATTTTCAAAGGGATTACAATAGTTTTTATTTAGGGTACAAGAGAACAAAAATAAAAATAAAAAAACAAATTTTTTGAAATCCGAAAATTATTCCTTCTGAAAATGTCAGAAGGCCTGATTGACGTTGGTTCGATGGGAAAGTCAGCAGGATCTAATTACTGTGAATTCTAGAAAAAAAATTCTGGAATGCACGTCATCGAAAATTTTGAAATTTTTAGTGAAAAAATAATTTTCAGAACTTGAATTGTCTGAAAATGATGATTCTTGTTATTTTTCTTGTGGTCTCATCAGACAAAATTTTTTTGGTCCAAATAAAGAAAAGGGACAAAAAGTAATATTATATGCATTCAAATGGGATTGAAATATTGTCATGAGGGTAGAAAAAATTTCATGGTAAAAGCTGCGATAGAAAAGTCCTATATTGCGTCAACTTTAACTAAATTTATCTCGGTTACTGTAAGAGAAATCAAAAAGTTAATAACTGACAAAATGTTTATCAAGAACGGATCAATATTTTGATAGTTGACCACTTTTTGATATCTCTTACAGGAAGCGAGATATATTGGCTTGAAGTAAACGGTTCCAATGGCGGTCTCCAAGGGTCCTCATAGCGTAAACTTCAACAGGATTTATCTCGGTTAATGTAAAAGTTATAAAAAAGTAATCAACTAATAAAATGTTCATCATAAAAAACGCAATATTTTATTAGTTGGTCACATTTTGATATCTTTCACAAGAACCAAAATAAATTGATTTGAAGAATTGCTGGTTTTACAGGGTTTCTATAGAACTCCGGTCTACCGTAATCCTCTAATTGGAGATCTACCGTAATCTTTCACCCACATTTATTACTTAATTACTATGTTTACCTCAAAAATTGCCCCAAGAAAATAAAGATTTATTACCCATAGAACTTTATGACTTTTCTGAGAAATTGGAATTTTTCGAAAACCACGGATTTTCAAAAAATTTTAGTTCCGGTTATGGATTACGGTAATTTCTAATCCTAGAAAGAGTTTTATATTTCAGTTCAATCGTCATGGCCTCGGATCCGACAATGGTCTAGAATCTTAAAAGCAATGGCCTAGGATTGGTACTGGGATGTACATGACCTAGAATCCAAGAGACCTAAAATTGGAAAACGTGGCCTAGGATCCATAAAACCGGAAGTCTAGATTTACTTTGTTAATTATGATGGCCTATTATTATGATGGCCTAGAAGCCCAAAAGAGATGGCCTAGGATTTGAGACTTTTTGAGGATTCTTGAAAACTCTACATTTCTTTTTCAGCATTTTTTTCTGAAATTCAGAAATTCCTAAAATTCTAAAATCCTGAAAAATCTCAATTTTTCACTCAAATTATGTACTTAAAATGGAAATTTTTATTGGGAAAAAATGGGGGAAAAAAGCAAAATTGTCCATGTGAACAATTTTCAAAAAACAAAAAAAAAAGCGAAAAATCGAAAATAAAAGGTTGTGAAATAGAAGAGAAAATGGTTGAGAATTGACTTCCGAAGGTCGTAAAATTGGGTGGAAAATGGATAAATTTAGGGGCCGAAAATGGGACCAAAAAGAAGGAAATTTGTATTTTTTTTAGACTAACTATAAGATTTTTGAAGGGACTACAAAGACTACAAACTATATGTTTCGAGTTTTTAATTTTTTTTTGAATTTTCGGTTTTTTAAGTTGTTTCAAATTCCAGGAATATCAAAAATTTCCAAAAAAAAATCTGAAATTCCTTTTTCAAAACGGACCACAAATTGAGCTCAAATCATCTGAAATGGTAATAAATGTTTTTTAGTCTAAAAATTTTTTTTTGGAATTGCAAGTTTCCCTCTTTCAAAAGCGGAATTTCCCAATTTTCGCTTCCCCTTCAAAATGGGAATTTGGGGACCTATTTTTAATATTTTTTCCCCAATTTCACCCAAGTTCTCCAGAGCCCCCCTCTGCTGAAAAGGAAATTTGAAGTGTCCCAGCATGGGAAATTCGGACATTTTTTTCGGAACAATTCAATTAAAACTCTCTGTCTCTGAATTTCGGGTACAGTACCCTGATGAATTTCAGTTTAGAAAGTGAGGTCTTGAATCCTAGGCCATCGGTTTTGGACTCTAGGCCGTCACACAGTATAACTCTAATATACCGGATTTGTCGGATACATAGCGCCACGTTTTCCAGTTGTAGGATTCCAATTTGTCTGATCCTAGGTCTTCATTTTTGGAATCATAGGCCATTGCACTATAAATACTATTATACGAAAGGTGTTCATTACTAGATAAATGAC